CTTGCCAGCGCAGGTCAAGGTTAATGTCTCTACTGTTTTCTCTCTCCTGCACTTGCCACGCAGGTTTTGAAAAACCCCTCCTTATGTTCACCTTTTGCACCCTTTTACCTACTCTGTTCCTTGTGGGTGGTATGTTTTTTTCTCTTTCTTTCTTGTAAGGCTGTCTTCCCAAAGGCATTGGTGTTCAGAGGAGGGGCAGGCGGATCCTTCCCTATGGGAGAGGAAAGGCGGGGGGGGGGGTGTTCTCTTGTAAAGGGGTAAAAATTTGGAAGTTTTCCAGCTCTAGAGACTTCCTCCAATTACGACACTAAAAGAAGCCAGTGTTCTCCACTCCAGGCCGAGCTTGTGACTTCTCCGCCTTTCTCCCAGCTTCCGGATTCCTCCACCCAGACGCTGCGTAGTTGTCATTTCAGAGGCCTTTTCCCTCCCCACCTTGCTCACTCCTCCCCAGCCTGTGCTGGAAGGTAAGCCCCGCGATGGTGGAGGTGTGGCACCCACTGTCCCCATGCTTGCGTGAGAGCCTGGCACACAGCAGCAGCTCAGGAAATAATTTGCTCAGAGAGCAGCCCTTGGTCCATGGCCATGAGGTGTGCAAGTGCTAGGTCAGTCGACTTCACATAAGAGAGGAGATCTTAAAAGTTCTCCTCACCCAAAAAAAAATTATAATTATGTGAGGTGATTGATGAGCTTTGTTAACTTGTGGTGGTTGTTTCGCAGTATATATGTATGTCAGATCCCTTTGCAGTGCACCTAAAACAAAGTGTTATATGTCAGTTGTATCTGAATACTAAAAAAAAAAAAAAAAAATCAGGGTTCTAGCCTTCTAGGTATTAGCTGCTTCTGTGGGATCTATGTTCCGTTGATCCTTTAATAACAGGGTGTTTCGCCTTGAAAGGATCTTGGAGGTCCTTGGGGCCCCCTCCTTTCTGTTAACTGCTCCTTATGGTTTCCTTGAGTTTTAATCTCTGAGAAGGAAGGATGGTTGTCACACGAGCATGTCTCGGTTATGCCTGTGTGAGCGATCCAAGGGAGGTTTCTCTTTCCAGATCAGCTAGCTCCTTTGACTTCCTCAAGCTTCTGGGAATGCTGATGTGAGGAGGCCTAGGGGTGATGGGTGCTTAGCTAAGCATCTGCGGTGAAGAACTCCCTGGGGGCGCCCGGCTGGCTCAGTCTGTAGAGCGGTTGGCTCTTGATCCCGGGGTTGTGAGTTGGAGCCCTGGGCTGGGTGCAGAAATTGCTTAAAAATAAATTCTTAAAGAAAGAAAAAAAAAAAAAAAGGAACTCACTAAACTGACTTGACCCTGCCTCTTTGCTCTTAAGCATTCTCTTTGTCTCTTCTCCTTTTCATTCTTCGGCTTCTCCTATCTTTTAACTTACGCAGTAAGCCCCTATGGTGGGCATATGCTGCCGTATTGGTACCGTTAGCTATTTTGTTCATTTTTAAAAATTAACTGGTTTATTTTAGAGAGTAGGGTGTGGGGGAGGAGCAGAGGGACAGAGTATCGCAGGCAGGCTCCATGCTAAGCGACATGGGGCTTGAGCTCACGACCCTGAGATCCTGACCTGAGCCGTAATCAGGAGTCGGCTGCTTAACTGACTGAGCCACCCAGGCCCTCCTCTTTACTTTGGGAGTACTCCCCCCACGAGATTTTATTTATTTATTTGACAGAGAAGGAACACAAGCAGGGGGAGTGGGAGAGGAAGAAGCAGGCTTCCAGCTGAGCAGAGAGCCCAATGTGGGGCTCGATCCCAAGACCCTGGGATCATGACCTGAGCCAAAGGCAGACGACTAATGACTGAGCCACCCAGGTGCGCGCCCCCCTTCCCCCATGGTAGGGGGAGTACTTTAAAAATTTTTTAATTTTTTATTATTTATTTATTTTAAAATTTTTTTAAAAAAGATACTTACTTGACAAAGAGACCGTGACAGAGGGGCTTCAAGCAGGGGGAGTGGGAAAGGGAGAAGCAGGTTTCCTGCCAAGCAGGGAGCCTAATGTGGGACTTGACCCCAGGACCTTGGGATCATGACCTGAGCCAGAGGCAGCGGCTTAACCAACTGAGCCACCCAGGTGCCCCTGGGTACATTTTTTAAGGTGGGCCTTTGATTGCCTTGATTCCTAAGTGGAACCATCTCGCTCCATAGGTCACACTGTTGAGAGCAGCAGCAGATCTTTGCAAAATTGCCATATGTTAGGCCTGGAAGCACTTTTGAGATCAAGATGATTCACACTGCTGGTCCCTTTTATTTGCTAGGAAGTGGACTTGGGCCATTGAGCTGAGGGCACGGGATTAGTGGGCGACAGACTCTGGGTCAGAGCCCTGGCCTTGCTGGATTTGGGCTGCTTTGTCACAGCACCCTCATGCCCCGCTGGTTCCACATCTCACATTTGTGAAGTGGAGACCTCTTACTGGCCACTTCTTAGTATTTTCTGGGGAGAGCCTTGGGCAATCTACTGAAAAAGGAACGTGGGAACAAGGCCTCATTATCTTTTTCAGCTGTGGCCTGTGACCAGTGAATTGTGGATCGGAAAGAGCCGGGCAATCAGAGAGGTGCAATGTATGTTTTGAATTTCCTTAGAAATAGTCACTGAAGCTTCTGAAAAGTTACTTTAATCTACAGCTTTTTTTTCCCTTCCCCTTTCCTAACCAGTGACACCAAAAATAGGATTGCTTTGGGGTTCTATGTTGGCAGACAGAATGCTCCCCAAGGGACTTTGAGGCCCCCTCCTCCTGGGGAACGAGGATGCTCTCTGTTTCTCCAGCAGTACCAACACTGACCCTATCTGACTTCAGGGAGCTGCTAAACTTGGGAAGTTACTGACCTACTTTATAGTCCGCGTACCCCTATGTTCATGCTTTGAATTAAAAAAACTCGACACCTGAATGGATCAAGAGTCATTTTATGTTGTTTTTTTGTTTTGTTCTGTTTTGTTTTTGCAGAGTTTATTTATTATTAGAGAGAGCGTGCGCGCGAGCACATATGCACGCACATGCAGGGGGAGGGGCAGAGGGAGAGGGACATGCAGAGTTGCTCTAAGTGAGAAGCTCCATTCACAGCCCTGAGATCATGACTTGAGGTGAAATCAGGAGTTGGACACCTGACTAATGGAGCCACCCAGGCGCTCCTGGAGCCCTTTTACATTCTTTATTAAAGTGTTCCTGCCAGTACTTCGGTTGCCACTCCCTGTGGCTTCGTAGCACTAGCTCCCCATGAGGAGATGGCAACAGAGACCGGCTTGGGTAGCCTCTGGTAAAAAGGTAGACACCTTTTCAGAAGTTTTGTAGTGGAGGATAAATCAGTCCATATTTAGTTGCTCTTCTCTTTTTGACTTGAAGCTAGTTAGGACCCTTCATCCTTTGAGTTGCTACTCAGGGTTGAATGTGATCATGTAGCCTTTGACTCAGGCAGGGACAGTGGGAACCTGTTTGTGTTAGTGGAAACAACACAGAGGACCCGATTGAAATTGAGTTTGGTCTGTTAACTAGTTGGGTCGTCCCCAGATGAGCGTGTCACACAACCCCTGCCCCAAGAGGTCTCAGGAACCAGAGTTACTGAGGGTTGGTAGGCTTTGGGAGGGAGTCTTGCCACCACGGAACAGCTGAGTTTCTGCTGGCAGGTGAATTTACTTAGAACTTGATCTCCTTTGGAAACTGGAATAATGTCTACTTGGTTAGGTTGTTGGGAGAGTGAAATGCAACACAAGGCAGGCGTCTTGGATAGTTGGCCTCACGGGGTCCCCGCACACTGAGGTTTGGGTGTCTGTGACTGCGTATTTTTTTTTTTTTTTTAAGATTTTATTTATTTGACAGAGATCACAAGTAGGCAGAGAGAGAGGGGGAAGCAGGCTCCCTGCTGAGCAGAGATTTCCCCATGCGGGGCTTGATCCAGAACCCTGGGATCATGACCCCAGCCGAAGGCAGAGACCCACTGAGCCACCCAGGCGCCCCCTGTGACTGCATATTATAGAAGGACGTTGCATACTGTCCTGCGCTGGTTGAGCTCTTTAGACAGTAAACCATTGGGGAATCCTTCAGTGAGTGGTAAGAGGGTTACAACTATGTTGTCGCATCCACAGTGTGGAAGGTCAGCTGGGTTGAGACTGGAGGGGTTGGGAGTGGTAAGAGTGGGTGGGCAGGGGAGATATGGCTACTTGTGTCTTGACATGAGGATTTGTTCGGAAGGTAAGTTACCATTTGGGTCATTGGTGAGTGCCAGCTAACATCACTAACTACTGTACTTTTTGCTTGTAAATATGGTGAAGCTATAAAGACCATAAGGTTCATAGAACATGTTAAAGGGAAGCTTTTGGTGTGTGTCTGTGGATACTGTTTAAAATGGAAATGACCAGTCTTGCACGTACTCAGAGAGAATGGTGTTTGTGCAGAAGGGAAATTTAAAAAGGACAGCTTTACAAAATAATATTAAGTGTTCCTTTTAGCTACTGATAGATTAGTTTTATTCCATATAGCTCTCAGGAAGACTTGGTCTGAAGGAATGAAAGCCATGTTTGGTGGATGACCCTGGGATTTGACAATGAGAGGGCGTGTGTATGCCTCTGTGCCCGTGTGTATATTTCAAGGTGAAGTGCTCCAGAGTTCTTGTGTGGAATGCGAAAAGAAGCCAGGATTTATGCACTCCACTGTTCAAATCAAAAAGCTGTATATCTTCCAGTATCCACACTATAACACAGTCTTAGTAAAAATGCACACTCCTTTAACCCCTTTACTTTCCCTTGAATTTGCTTTTATTTTCGGGAGGAGGAAAGGATAAAGAAGTTGCAGTGCAGAACTATATTTATTTAGAACAAAACTTTATATTCTACATTAAAAAAATAATTTTATCAAAACCAAATTTCAATCACAGTTACGATTTTCAGTTAAAGGTACATGTTGAAATTGCACTTTGCAGATATCTTGATAGTGTCCTTTATAGTGCTCCCCATGCTCCTGCATTTTTCTTTGTGCTTGTTCATGTGTAGCATGGTTGGTTTTCCTTCTAGGATGTGGAGAAAGAGAAGGAAACCCACAATTACCTCAGCAAAGAGGAAATCAAAGAGAAAGTCCATAAATACAACCTGGCTGTCACAGACAAGTTGAAGATGACCTTGGTAAGCACCCGCACCTGTCAGAAGACGGATACAGACTGTTGGTCTTACCATCCATGTGTCTTAAAGTCTCTCAGTAGCGTTTGCAGATGCTAAATGGTTAGGGTACGCCAGACGATGAAGTGGAGTACTTCTGCAGCTTTCAGATTAAAGTTATATTTTGAAGTAGCTTTATCGCACCCAGCAGTTAATACTTTAAAGTTTTGTGACCCAGGGCACCTGGGTGGCTCGGTGGGTTAAGCCTCTGCCTTTGGCTCAGGTCCTGATCCCAGGGTCCTGGGATGGAGTTCTGCATCAGGTTCTCTGCTCAGCGGGGAGTCTGCTTCCCCCTTTTTCTCCCTGCCTCTCTGCCTACTTGGGATCTCTCTGTCAAATAAATAAATAAAATCTTTAAAAAAAAAAAAAAAAAAAGTTTTGTGACCCCCCCCAGAAAGATTTTTAGCATCGAGGATTGCCATCACCTCTTTAACATACAGGTGGTACCTCAAATTCTGATAAGGCTTACATCCGTTTTCTCTTGTGCAAGTAAGTAGGGAAGTGTTGGGAAAAGGATTTCATGCCCGTGGGTTAGAATAGAATTGAGCCAGGATTCCTCCCAGCTGGTTGCCTCGGAAGGTGGGCGGATGTAGTATTCAGCCTCCTCCTGCACGTTGTTTGAGGCTCCTGCTCTGTGGAACCCAACACTGAACTCAGTGGAGAGCTGGTGGAGGCGGGAGAAGGCATGGGGCGTAGTGACAGGGGGAGAAGAGCCAGAGCAAAGCCAGAGTATTCATGTGCCTCGGACGGGACTGGCGTCTTTGCTTGTCCTCACGTTTCGTGACTTTCCTCGAGGCACCTGCCATCCCGTGGTGTCCGTTTCCAGGGCCCTTGGACTTCTGCCTCTCGGGCTGTTGGCTGTGAACGGACAGTTCAGCCAAGGACAGAGTGACTGGCTTAAAGCAGGCCCTGCTGAAGTCTGTGACCTTTGGGGAGGAGCGCTACACGGAAACCCGTGTGATAAAGGATTCCTCCCCATTGGGCCGCCTTGAAGAGGGGGAAGCGGGACACAGGCTCTTGACTTTCTTCATTACTCCCAACAGTGATGCTTGTCTGTTTTCAAATGCGCTTTTCATCAAAGGAGAAATACTGCACTCACCATCGGCTCTTCTTCCCTCCCCCATGGAGATGACATTGCAAAAATAGAAATTTGAAGTGTTGTGGAATACTTTCTACAAGAATGAACAGTCGAATTAGTATGGTAAATTGATCTTGTGGAAAGGAAGAAAAATAGTGGACCAAAAAGGGGGGTTTTTAAAAATGTTTTAACTGTCTCATTTCTTTTCTTCTTTTTTTTTTTTTAAATTTTTGAAGATTTTTATTTATTTGATAGAGACATAGCGAGTGAGGGAACACAAGCTGGGTGAGTGGGAGAGGGAGAAGCAGGCTTCCTGCTGAGCAGGGAGCCGGATGCTGGGCTCGATTCCAGGACCTTGGGATCATGACCTGAGGTGAAGGCAGATGCTTAAGGACTGAGCCACCCAGGCGCCCCTAACGGTCTCATTTCTATGTAACACCTGAGGTTTTGTTTTAATAAAACACTAAAATACGTTTTTTCCTGGATGTAAAAAGAAAAAGTGAAGAGCAGACGATTATTACTGTTTTTGGTAACTAAGAAATAATAAGTCTACCATCAGCGAAGACAAGTGCTGAACTCAGCAAGTTGTGTATTTTAAATACGTGCAGGTTTTTTTTTTTTCCATGAAAAGCATATCTCAATAAAATGTGTAAAAAATAGTATGTAGAAGGAGATACAAATACCATGTTAAGACAAAAAAGACAAGTGCTTATAATATCTGTAGTTTGCATTGTAGCTGCTCGAGGCCACCAAGATGCATCGTCACGCACCCCACGCCCTGCGCGGTGTGGGGTATGCTGTGTCCAAACATTTTGGCGAAATTGATCATCTAGGACACAGGGTGATAGGCACTAGGAATGAGGTAGCTTGTTTGGGTTCTGTTCCCTCGGTTTTGGGTGTTTCCAAGTGACACAGAGAACCTCCCTCCCTCCCTCTTTTCTTTCCTTCCTTCCTTGATTTTATTTATTTGAGAGGGAGCACACATGTGCATGCGTTGGGGAGGGGAGCCCGTGCAGGGACTCCATCCCAAGTGCCTGAGATCACAATCTGAGCCAAAGGCAGAAGGTTAATGGACTGAGCCAGCCAGGCGCCCCACGACCTTCCTTTTCTGTGTAATAGCTGGTCACCAGCTGCAGAAGTTTCCTTCCAGCAGTTGGCCCCCACCCGTCTGCCACGCACCAGTGTGTCTTGGGATTTGGCTGGCCTCTGCTTCGGTGGACTGTAACCTCTCCGGTGGGCCCTGACCTTTCACATGTGGTTTTGGAGGCATCCCTCCTGGACCGCTGTCCCCACAGCACGAGGAGGCTTCTGTTGCCACATCTGCCCTACAGACCCCATCTCTGGAAGCACTTTGCTAGGGTAGTGTTAACCTCCCTCTGAGGTCCTTCCCTTCGGGGCGATCTTTAGTGAAGCTGTGCCACAGAGCAGTAAATGCACAGAACCAGACAAAGAGTATCTCGCCTTTCATCTAACAGCGTGTGTTTTTTCCTGCTTCAGAATTCAAATGGGATTTACACTGGCTTCATTAAAGTCCAGATGGAGCTCTGCAGACCCCCTCAGACTTCTGGGAAACTCGCTCCCGGTAGCAATGGCTGTATGAACACGCTTCACATCAGCAGCATGAACACCGTCGGGGAAGTGATCGAGGCCCTGCTCAAGAAGTTTCTCGTGACCGAGAGCCCTGCCAAGTTTGCACTTTATAAGCGTTGTCATAGGGAAGACCAAGGTATGTTGCCAGGCCTCAGATGAAAATGATGTCTGCTTTTATGTCTTTGTCGTCATGAGCAGCAGGAACGCTGCTGGGTGTATGTATGTCAGAGCCCAGGGACAGGTTCTGGAAGCTGTGGTGATCCTGGCTTAACCCTTTTCCCGTTTCCTGGCTTTCCGTATTCCTGAGTTGGACACTTGTGGGTCTGAGGAGGTCCAAGGCATCCACATGTGATGGGCATTTGTGGAGGATTTTGTGATGTGTGCACCAGGGGATGGCTTTGAGTTTTTTTGTAAGCCTTAATTTTAATGCTCTTCAGGATGAAAAAGAATGCTTTTGTGCTTGAAGGTTTCATTAGCACATTCCACGTTTGATGTGTGTCTGAACAGGGGTGGTCTGGGGGACTTGCCTCCTTGGAGACTTGGAGGATGGGCAGGCGCGTGTGATACTGCACATTGCAGACTTCCTGATGTGCGTGGCATCATCCCGGGTTCTGTTTCCTGAGCTCGCCTCGCTAGCTGTGACCCAGGGGCAGTGGGGCACCCAGCCCCCCAGAGGCACATACAGTGGATGAATAACATTGTCCTCTGGGGTCTGCCTGTCTGAACTTCATGCCCACATGCAGCGAGTAGGAAGAGGATAGTAAGGAACTGTGTGAAACTGAACATGGTAGTTCAGTGCTCCAGCAGAAACTGATCACCAGTGGTGGATAACCATGATACTGGGAGTCACCAAGTGCTTGTTTGGAAATGCACAAGATGTGTGGGCAGTCCAGCTACTTAACCTCTGTTTTTTTGGGGTACAGCCTCTAGCAGCAGTGGAGGAAAATAGACTAACTTGATGTGCTAGACATAGCCTTCAGTTGTTGGGGGAGGAAACGCAGCTAGTTGCTGAGCATGCATATTTCTCTTTGACCCCAAACCATGGGCTGAGCCCTGCAGAATACAAAGAGGACCTAGGCCAAGGTTCCTACCCTCAGGAGGCCCCAGACTTGAAGCATGGGCATTTACATCTCCAGGGAAATCAGTACCTGTGATGTGGCCGTATCCAGAAGTGCCAGGATACCATAGAGAGCTCAGATGGTGTATCCGGCAAGCTTCGTTGCCTGCCCGCTGGACTTGAGCCGCATGGACTGACAGTAATAGCATCCTGTTGAAATATTATCCTCATGGCTGGCAGAATCTTTCAGCGCTGAGGCAGTGCTAGCACCCTGTGTGTGTCTCCGTGTGTGTCCCCATGGGTTGCAAGAGACACACACAGCTGTGCCTGCAGTCAGCAGAGCCCGCGTTCTGACTGCTTGGTTTGTTTGTGGCTGCTCATAATTCTAAATGTATAGAGAGATTCACTCTGATTTTGTTTTCTTCGGATGGTATGTTTTTACTGTTTCTTAAAGGGGTTGCAGATGCTTTTGTAAGTGTATTATCTTGCTTTCTAAAAGGGGGAGCAGAATGAATTACAGGCCCATCCTTGGACTAACTAATACCCATTAAAGTTCATTCTTGAGGATTATTTCCTTTGTAATTGAGGCACAGCGCGTATTGTGCAGCTAGAACAGAACTAGCGTAGATTTCATTCCACCGCCGGCTGTTCACAGCAGTAGGAGAGGGAGGACGGTGACTGGGTGGCTGGGTCACGGGCTGCGTTGCCTTGATCCGGAGGAGGGGCTGGAAAGCCAGGAGGATGGTCTGGGGAAAGATGAGATCCTGTGTAACGGGCTGCCTGTTTGCTTACGCAGTCTATGCCTGTAAGCTTTCGGATCGGGAGCATCCGCTCTACCTGCGTTTGGTGGCTGGGCCCAGAACAGACACGCTGAGTTTTGTTCTTCGTGAACATGAAATTGGAGAGGTAAGTGATTGTTCATTCTTGCTTTACACTGTAGAGAGCAGCTGGCCCTGGTTTACTGCTTGAGTCTAGTGACTCTATTTCCTCGGGGGTGGGGAGGGTTGGGCAGGAGGAGAGAGAATGCACGCAGGTGGGCATCTGTCTAGCTGCCTGTCTGTGTTTCTTGGGAGGGGAGAGGAGTCTGGAGGACAGCTTTCTGTGTGTTTTTGAATTGTCAGAGATGAACCCAAGGTTAGCCTACAATAGAATTTTTTTTTTAAACAATATCTATTCTCTTGGTTTATAATTTTCAGAGGTGGGAAAAGAGCAAGTAAGAAATCTTTTTCCCACCCGAAGATCCCATTTCACTTCTTCTACCTCCAAATTACCCTAATGCAGCTAAACTGTGAAAGTTGATACTCTCCATATGTTTGCTACAAACATCTCCAGGCTCATTTGTTTAAAGAGAAATAAAAGGAAATGGAATTAAAAAAAAAAAAAAAAAGGAGGGAAATGCAGGAGTTTCTCTACCACGAGAGACATAAAACTTTCTAGAATCTTTTTTTTTCTTCTTGCCACAGTGATTTAGAAATTACGTTTGTATATGCATCATTTGCCATTTTGTCTCCAGGGAGGATTGAATTTAGGCCAGTTCAGTTGAAAAAAGCACTTTATATGGTCCAGCCGCCAACTTTAAAAGGACACTTGAGTAAATTCCTGGGTCTTGGGGCAAGCCATGGTCTCTGTCTTCTGCCTGAACAAGAAATGGCATGAATTGTCCACGTAGAACATTGTGTGATGCAGTGAGAATAGTTTCCAGGCTAATAATTAGGAAGCCAGGGGTGCCTGGGTGGCTCAGTGGGTTAAAGCCTCTACCTTCAGCTCAGGTCATGATCCCAGGGTCCTGGGATCGAGCCCTGAATCAGGCTCTCTGCTTGGCGGGGAGCATGCTTCCTCCTCTCTCTTTGCCTGTTTCTCTGCCTGCTTGTGATCTCCGTCTGTCAAATAAATAAATAAAATCTTTAAAAAAAAAAAAAAAAAAAAGTCAGGAAGCCAAAACTCTACTTCCTACCGGTCCTCTTGTGAGTTTAGGAGCATGACCTTAGGTGAATCTTCCAGTCTTTCAGCCCTCAGATTTGAAATCTGTGAAGTGGGGCTAAAGACTTTTTACTTTTTTAAAGGTGGTTTTGAGTTACAAATTAAAAATACACGTAAACATGCCTTGTAAATTATGTATCTGTAAGTTGGAGCTTGGTCTGGGGAGTTTTAGGAAGATAATGCTGTCTTAATTAACAGAATATTCTATTGTAGAAAGTTTGTTCTCCTACTCCATGTTTCTTATTTTCTTTAATAACCAGGTCAGAATTCTCCAGAAAGCCTTGTACCATTATGCCTACTTGGTGGTTTTATTCCATTTGTTCCATCTGTTCTACTTGTGTTAGGTTATCTCTGGTCCTTTCCCTCCCCACACCTGGAAGTTCCCTGTCAGATATTGTTCCTGGGGCCCCTGGGTGACTTAGTCCCTTGAGCTTCCGACTCTCGATTTTGGCTCCCGTCATGGTTTCCTGGTAGTGAGATTGAGCCTGGGAGCGTTGGATGGGCTCAGTGCTCTGCACTCAGTGAGTCTGCTTGGGATTCTCTCCCTCTGCCCCGTCCCCTGCTTGTGTGCACTTGCTCACATGTTCTCTTTCTCTAATTAATAAATAAATAAACCTTTAGAGGAAAAATTGTTCTGCTTAAGGCCATGATTCTCAGCCTAGGACCCATGGCCCCCTTTTGGAAGATGTTTTGTTTGGAAAACAAATTTAAAAAACCCCTTCCTGGTGATGCCAAGTATCTTTCTTGACCTTTACTGATGAATTAAAAATTTTTTCTTAAAGTGCCTGCTAGGTGCCGGGTGCTGTTGGGGAAGCAACTCAGAGTCTCCAGGGCAAGCAGCAAAGCCCAGATAGTGAGAAGCACAACAGCTGCAGTGTAGTAAAGAGTAGGTGAGGGAGATGCTTAGCAAATGATCCCCATAATTTTTAAATCTTTTGTGATCAGGGCTACCATTGCTCAGTGAGAGCTTCTCATAGGTGTTGTTCTGGGTCAGAAGGAACAGAGCAAGGAAATCATGGAAGACTTCTTTGAGGAAGTGGCATTTAAGCTGAGACTTGAAGGTTGAGTAGGAGTTTGCCAGGCAGAGTGGAGAAAGTGAGTGAAGCTACTGAGGGTGATGTAATGAGTGGGACAGTGTGAGAGAGAGAGGGGAGCTAGAGGTGTCAGGGTTTTTCAGATTTAGCAGGAATGACCAGGGGAAGCCACCGAAGGATTCTGGCAGGGGAGGGACACACCTAGATTTGCATTTTATGGAGAGTATTCATATTCAGCCTGGCCCCTGAGGGAACAGATGGGGAAACAGAAGAGTGGTGTAAGGAGGTTATGGGTGAGTTTGTCCCTGGGCTGGAGAAGAGGATGGTGAATGCAGAGGGGGGCAGCAGAGGTAGTAGAGAAGAGCAGGCCAGTTGGAGAGCTGTGTAGCAGCTGGTAAGATTGTGGGAAGTGGAAGAATGTGGAGGTGATGGTGGTGACTGCAGGGAGAGGCTGAGGAGAGTGGTTTCTGATGCTGCTGGGGTCAGATAGAGAGGGGCCAGGTCAGCAGTGAAAATGTCTGGTGCGCTTGGGGCCCTGAGTGCTTTGGCCCCAGTGAGATCCGCTGTGGAGAGCTGTGGAGGCAGGCAGAGGTGCGAGTGGGCCCGGGTGTCCTCGGAGGGCCCGGGTGCTGGGGGAGGGAAGCTGGGGAGCACCTCCCCCCACCAACCCCACCTGTGCCGGCCCACGATCTGACTTCAGCACCTGAGTTTCTCCTTCTTGTGTCCTTGCACAGTGGGAAGCCTTCAGCCTTCCAGAGCTACAGAATTTCTTGCGGATCTTGGACAAGGAGGAGGACGAGCAGATGCAGAGCCTGAAGCGGCGCTACGCGGCCTATCGCCAGCAGCTGGAGGCAGCCCTCAGCGAGGTGCGGACGCCCGGCTAGGCGCCCTCCCCTGCCTCCCGCGGCCGAGAGGCGCGGGACCTGCGTGCGCAGCCCCAGCCGGGGTCTCTCTCGCGGGGGGGACCGTCCTCACGCCCTGTGACGCCGGGGCCTGCCTCCTCGGACCCCGGGCTCTAGTCCCCGCTGCCTTCTGGCCTCGCCCGGCGGGGCTGCTGCCGCCCGTCCAACGGCTCTGCGGGCTCACCTCTCGGCAAGCTGTGAATCTGTGGTCTCCTCTGGGGCCATCTAGACGGCTTGGAAGCACGACTCTGGGTTTTGTTTGGTTTATCTTTCTTCCGTACTTTGTTTTAGTTGATTATGTGATGGTGAAGTTGAGCTGAAGGACGGGCAGATGATTTTTTTTAAAGCTTAATAAGGAGTCTCTCTGAAGACTGCCCTGTATTGAAACTACCTGTCTGTTTTGTTTTCTGTCTTTAAATGTCAGAGGAAGCGATCCGTGGGAATTCAGAGGCCCCGGAAGCCGGGAGCTCAGAGGCATTGAAGGGTTTGGTTAGGAGTTGGACTGAGAAGGTGAAGAGCAAGTATGGAAGAAGGCGCCAGCGGAAGTGGGGAGCTCTGCGGGAACGTGGTTTGGGTGAAGGGTGGGCGGTCAGGGAGAAAGATGTGTTTGGTTACAGACGGGAAAGCCTTGGGTTTTGAGATGTTAGGCCCATCGTGGTGTAGTGCTTGATGTGCTGGTGAGTAAGACGTGGGAACAGAGCCAAAGCAAGTAGGAGCTAGAGCAGAGGGAGGAGCTGGGAAGTGTGCAGCTGCCCAGAGAATGAGCGTCCAGCCAGGTGGACCTCGCAGGCCCACAGAGAGGGGGTCCTGTGGTGGGTCGCCCTCTCTGGGGACCCGTCCTGGTGCTCTCTTCTGGGGGTGGGGCGCTTCTGCGGGTGGTGGGGCCACGACCGAGGGCTAGCTCTTGTTACCTTATGGTCCCGGTCTCCCACCCCAGCTGTTTTCTGAATGGAAAGGGAGTTTGGATAGGGGGTGGCTGTTTTCCGGTTAGCTGCGAGATTTGTCAAGTAGAGAGCTCACTGCATACTTTTGTGACAATCACTCCCCTTCTTTCCCTAGTTTCCCTTTTTCCTCCCCTTCCCCCTCTTCCTCCTCTACTTTTCCCTCTTCTCCCCACCTTCTCTTACGAATTGCAGTCTGTTCTTCCCTAAGGTAGATTAGGGATGTGGATTATACACCCAGTGCCATCAGATCCTCCTTCCAAAAGGAGTACTTGACTGAGGAGGAGGGTGGCCAGAAAGGGAGGACTCCCTCGCTGCTGCCCTGCCACACACCAGCTGACCACACAAGAGGGGTTCTTTCTGGAAATGCTCTAACGAAAGTGCGTGTTCTACCAACCAAAGAAAGGCGTGCACAATAGAAGCCTTCCTTAAAGCAGGTTAAATAACCTCGTTTTTTGCAGCAATCTGAAAACAGCAAGAAAGCTGTGCTGTGTTCTAAAGGGGCCTTATAATCTGTTTTTGTTTTTTGTTTTGTTTTTGTTTTTTAGTCTAGATACATTTTGTTTATAAATTCCCAAGGAATTGTCAACACTTTGGTGACACCTAATGGATTCTTTTTGAAATTCCAAGGTGCTTCATTTCTTTGCCTCTTAAGTGAACTGTGCCTTTTAAAAATTGCATTTCTGTTCCCTTCTTGGTGGCACTTCTGACTTTGCAGAGAGCACCCGTCTTGTTGGAGGCAGGTGTCCGCGGTGGTCTGCTGTGCACACACGTTACTGAGACAATCCTATCTTCCTAAGCTTTTTAAGGAGAGTTGGGGGGGGGAGTAGAACTAGCTATAAAATATGTATGGGGCACATCTTGTTTAATTTTGCATGTGACTTCTTTTTAGTGCATCGATGAGGTTTTAGTGACATTGTCATCCAACACTTTACTGTTCAGGGAACGCCTTCATGATTTTTTATGCTGGTTTTACTGTTCAGACTGTGGCTTGGGTGTGAGTATACTGTTATCAACACCTGGTCTTTGAATTGCCCACCCAGTAAGCTTATATTTTGTGAAGCATTGGTTTTTCAGATTAAGACACTGTTAGAACCTAAAGTAGTAGCTGATGGTTATCTGTGAATTTTTTTTCTTTCTTTTTTCTTTTTACTTGAAGTAGATTGTCTAAAACAGGCATCCTCCTCTCTAGTATCCAGAACCTCGCTCGTTGTCGTGTGCACTACAAGTTGCAATTTGGAAAACTTGCTGTATTGAAATCGTCAGTACATAGTTCTTGGAACACTGACGTTTTCTCCCAAACACTGGTTCCTGCAGCAGCATTTTTCATGCATAAAAGAAGAAAAGGCCACTAGGGCCAGAGATTTTTAAAAATCACTGTACAAATTCTTATGTTAAATTAAACTAAGCTTTGCTGTAATACTGTTTTCTCTTCCAACATGTGATGGTACCAGAATGTTGTTAAAAATGAAGGGGGTAGTATTGCAGGGGAGCATTTTAAATCACAGAAGTAAAAAAGTTATAATATTTATAATTTTGATGAGTTTATTTTAATAGGGAAGATTTTTCTTCCCTGCAGTTGTTTCTGGAATGGCAAATTGTTTCCATTATTAAAAGTCGAAGTTGTTAGCTGGTGTCCATGTGTTTTTATTTGCGATAATAATATGCCCGGTAAAAGGAGGTCGCAGGAGTGGGACGAGCTGCTTTTGTGGACCCATGAGGACATGTGCGGGAACGCGGGGACTTAGTAGGTTTGAGTGGGAGACATTTGTTCTCTCAAGTGTTGCTTTTCCTTTGTCTTACTCTCTGGGGAAGGAAACCCTCGCCGAGTGTCTACCCGTACAACACATTCCTAAAACAATTGTTCTGATTGTGGAATATACATACGTTCAAAAGTGTATAAAGCATGTGAACAAAGAATATAAAGTGGATGCCCTGTGGCCCCTTCCAAAAACAGGAGGGTCTCATTAGTTTCTTAGAAACCCTCTCCCTCCACCTTCCCTACCTGCCTTTAGTTCTCTTGTCCTTGAAACAGACCACTTTGAACGTTTAAAGTGTATCTTTTGGTCAGCATGACTGTCCCACACAGGATGGTGGGATGGGGAGTATTTGGGGGCGGGGGTCGGTATCTGTGAGTGGGTAAAGGCTCCGTGTGCTCCTCTCCTGTGCCTGCTCTAGGCAAGCATTTTTGCTGCTGCACTGCCCCCTAGAGGTGATGGTGAAATCAGACCAGGGCTGCACCTGTTGGTGAGGGGAAACGTTTCCAGAAAAATACCATAGCTGTTTGAGAAGTGAAAATATTATGATAGAGGGGCACCTGGGTGGCTCAGTGGGTTAAGCCTCTGCCTTAGGCTCAGGTCATGATCTCAGGGTTCTGGGGTCGAGCCCCGCATCGGGCTCTCTGCTCAGCAGGGAGCCTGCTTCCTTCTCTCTCTCTGCCTGCCTCTCCGCCTACTTGTGATCTCTATTTGTCAAATAAATAAAATCTTGAAAAAAAATATTATGATAGAAAATGATGGCTTTGTATAGATCTCTCTGATGAAATATCCAAAGGAATCTCGTTTGTTAGTTCAGCCTGGGTTACTACCCAAGGTGCACGGGGAGGTTTTTTGTTTGATTGAATTTTTATCCCTTAAAGGGAGTTAGCTTCCTGCCCTAAGCTTTTTGTCAGAATTTATCACCAAACGATAACCTGTTTAGATTTTCTTATTTTGCAGAATCCTCAAGAATGGTATCTTGCATTTTGTGTTTGAAAGAACGGGGAGGGGCACCTGGGTGCTTCAGTAGGTTAAGCATCTGCCTTGGGTTCAGGTCATGATGTCAGGGTCCTGGGATTAAGTCCTGTGTGGGGCTCCCTGCTCAGCAGGGAGTCTGCTTCTCCCTCTTTTTCTGCCTCTCCCGCTGCTTGTGTGCTCTCTCTCACCCTTTCTCTCAAATAAATAAAATCTTTAAAAAAAAAAAAGGTTGGGGGGGGGGATGTCTCTGTACTGGCAAATTCACACGAAGTGTTCACAGTGTGCCAGGCCTTACTCTCCAAACCTTAGTACGTATGAACGCCTTTTCTCCCCTGTGAGGTAGGTATTGTCAACATCCCCATCTCACAGATCAGGCGGCGCACTGAGGTCCGGCAGCTTGCCCACCGCCACGCTGAGAGAGCGGCCGAGCCGGGTCCTGGCCCCGAGCAGCCCGGCCACTTCGCTCCCCCGGAAGCTCCGTCCAGTTTTCCGATGCTCCTGCCAGCGGGAAGTCCGGGATGTTGCCCGCACTGAGCGGTTTGTCAGAAAGCCAGCCTCTGGGTGCGGCGGGGGTGTGTGGGGCGTGGAAGGGCAGCCTCGATGTCTGAGTGCTCTGTCGTCCTTGTGTGGTGTTCGTTCAGCATCCCACTGAGGTGGTGGTGGGTTAGCGCTAACCGCCCCCCGGTGTTTTCATTCCGCAGGTTCTGTTGTGCGGGAGGTTCCCGCAGCAGCTAGCCAGGCCAGTGTTCCCGCTGCGGTTGGTACCATCGCTCCCTGCACCACCCGAAGAGCCGCCTCGGGGAATGCAGAGTTGCTGTACGCAAAGGCTAGAGCTTTCCTCCCCCACCAAGGATGGGCCTCTGCAGAGGAACACGGGAAACCAAGTATGGAGTCTTGAAAGCGCTCCCTTGTGTGGTGCGTACAACCGCACAGTTAACCAGGTGTGCAGAAGAGCATTTTTGTACAAGAACTCGGGGAGGGAAGTGGGGGGCACGGGAGTGGGCAGCAGTAAAGAACTTTCCAGGGCGATGTCATCTCCAGGGTCGTGTTTTGGGTTTTTTGGGGGTGGTTTTTGGTTGGCCCTTTTTGGTTTCATTTTGTTTTTCTGGCAGAACTTTCCCTCTAATCCTGCAAGGTGAGAACGGCAGGAAGAGGACAGACCCTTTTGATCTTAAATAACAGTTTCCAGAGACCGCTGTGACGCACGTTTGGCTGAGGCGGGACTTGGCAGCAGCTCAGCCGCCAGAGGCCCCTCTCCGTCCCCTCTTGGAAGTGGGAATAACTGACATTCTTCCATGTTTACACACGAACAGCAGAACACCCAGGGCTCTTGGTATCCTTCCAAGGAAGCTGGGGTTTTGGCTTTGTTTTCGGAAGGGAGTTACTTTAAGTGGAATAGTTACTTTCAGCCTTTCTAAATGAGCCTCACCTTTAAGGCAGCTGGGTCTTCAGTGGCACAGATCGGGGGTGCCGGCAGCCTCCCCTTGTTTTTGCCACCCTTTGTTGGCAAGAGGGATTAACGAGATCCTGCTCAGTTCCTTTCTCTGAAGTGGGGTGCCGGGGGCTTTGTTCGTGAGGGCTCTCCGAGAGGGCGGGGCTCAGAGAGGGCGGGGCTGGGGGATAGAGGGACAGAGAGAGAATCTTAAGCAGACTCCCCCTGAGTGCAGAGCGTGACCAGGGGTGTGACGCAAGGCTCAGTCTTACACGGTCCTGGGACCGTGACCTGAGCTGAAATCAAGGATTGGAAGCTTAACCGACTGAGCCACCTAGGCACCCCCGAGGGCTTTCAGATCTCAAGTGTGATAGGATTTGTTTAAATTACAGGAATTCTGGAGCAGCACACTAGAATCCTTGAATTGTTAACTATTGCTGGTAGGAAAGCAACAGCTTAAACTCTAGTGTTTTATACTGAGCTATAAATGGGGTCTTCAGATTCTTTTCAGTTTCAAATGACTTTTCCTTGCATGTGTAATCTCTCAAGGAGCATGTTGACTCAGTGACTTTTAGGTAGTCAGGCATACATCTAATGCCTTATCAAGAAAAGACCCTTGTCAGAGAATACACGGGCAGCCACGGTAACTGGGGACTTCAGGAAAGTCCAAGTTCCATTGACTTTCTTCTGGATAAACTTTCTAATTGGCAGTTTACATGTGTTGGGGAGGGGAATGCGTCTCAAGGAAGACAACCAGTGAGGGTGGAGGGGTGTGGGTGAGGCCAGGAATAAAGTTTCTGTTCCCTTTGTCACCCTGTGTCCAACGCCCCAGCTTGCTTTATACAGTTCTGTTCTTTTGTACCTAAGGAAAGGGAATAGAGGCATGGTGGGTCTCACAGAAAGTTACTTGTTAGGAAGCTGGTGCTCGGGAGGGGGCAGTTTAGAATCTGTTGGAAGAACTTTCAAGGCAAAATGACGTTCCCATGCGATTCATGGACTGCACCAGACCTATCAGAGGTGCTCATTTTATTTTATTATTTTTATTTTTTACAATATTTTATTTATTTATTTGACAGAGATCACAAGCAGGCAGAGAGGGGGGAAGCAGGGTCCCCGCCTGAGCAGGGAACCTGAATTCAGGGCTCGATCCCAGGACCCCGAGATATGACCTGAGCTGAAGGCAGAGGCTTAATCCACTGAGCCACCCAGGTGCCCCTATTTTATTACTATGTTTTAAAAGATTTTTATTTATTTGACAGAGAGAGACACCGCAAGAGAGGGAGCACAAGCAGGGGGAGTGGGAGAGGGAAAAGCAGGCCTGGATCCCAGGACCCTGAGTTCACGACCTGAGCTGACGCTTAACTAACTGAGCTGCCCAGGTGCCCTTTATTTATTTATGTTTTAAAGATTTTATTTATTGGAGAGAGAGCGAGAAAGAAAGAGAGCATGAGGAGAAAGGATAGTGGGAGAAGCAGACTCCCCACTGAGCAGGGAGCCGGATGCGGCACTTGATCCCAGGACTCCAGGATCACAACCCAAGCCAAAGGCAATCACTCAACCACCTGAGCCACCCAGGTGCCCGGTGCCCTAATTTTATTTTTAAAATTTTTCTTTTTTAGTTTAAATTCAATTAATTAGCATATACTATATTATTAGTTTCGGAGGTAGAGGTCAGTGATTCATCAGTCTAATACCCAGTGTCGTCATATCACATGCCCTCCTCAATCCCCATCCCCCCACCTCCCTCCCCTCCAGCAACCCTCAGTTTGTTTCCTATAGTTAAGAGTCTCTTATGGTTTGTCTCCCTCTCTGATTTCATTTTATTTTTTCCCTCCCTTCCCCCATGATTCTCTGTTTTGTTTCTTAAATTCCACATACGAGTGAGATCTTATAGTTGTCTCTGATTGACTGATCTCACTTAGCATAATACCTTCTGGTTCATCCACATCATGGCAAATGGCAAGTTTTTTTTTTTTTTTTTTTGATGGCTGAGTAGTATTTCATTGTATATTTAAACCACATCCTCTTTATCCATTCATCTTCGATGGAAATCTGGGCTCTTTCTGCAGTTGGCTACTGTGGACGTTGCTGCTATAAACATTGGGGAGCGCATGCCCCTTTGGATCACTACATTTGTGCCTTTGGGGTAAATCTTCAGTAGCGCAACTGCTGGGTCCTAGGGTAGCTCTTTTTTCAGCTTTTTGAGGACCCTCCGTACTGTTTTCCAGAGTGGCTGCACCAGCTTGCATTCCCAACGACTGCAGGAGGGCTCCCTTTCTCCGATCCCCAGAGGTGGCAATTTTGAAAAGGCAGATTTTTCCGCATCCCGCCCCAAAGCTGAATCTGTATGTCTAGGACGGGGTTTGGCGAATCTGCCATTTTACCCAGCGCCCCATACGTGTTCAAGTATTAACTGCAGATCTCCAGAGGGTTTTGGGGGCTGAAGGGAGAC